GGTGTTAGTTCTGTAAAAACCTGTCCGGAGCCGCCTGTTTCGTGGTTGTTTCCAGCGACTATGGCCGCGGATCATGGCGGTGAAGGGCTGGGGTTGGAAGAGGGAAGTTTCGTGGTTCATTTGGCACTGGGATTGCCTGAATCGGGGGTCGGGGCTGGGATGAGAGGAATCAGCTCAGAAAGTCGGCTCGTTCTCTCTGCCGAAACCCAGAAAAATCTGGGTTTATAAAATTTGAAGTTCGAGATATTTACGGTTATGCCACTGAATTTCTTTTGCTCGTAACTCCTTCGTTACAACTCCGTTTTGAGTCGACTACATGTCTACGGACTCGTTTTGTCGCGCTCTACGCAACAGTACAACTGGAATCCTCAAATTCCTTCCCGGTCAAAAAGTCAACTTTTAAACTAATAAAATATTTTAGGGGTATTTCAGTTTTTTTTTTTCAAATAAATTAATAATTAAATATTAATTTTAGGTTTGGGTTATTACATTTTATTTCTCTTCTCTGCTCTATATGCTCTGTTTCTCTCAAGTTTGAAAAAAATTTCTTTGATTTTGCATTAAATTTGCTTGGCATGAAGCCCCCAAGTCATTTGGATTTGGGGACGGTTGGGGAGTTTTCTTTGTTGTCTCCGATACCTCAGTGGCACGAATGCTCGATTTGTCTCAACCCCAGGGGTCCTTTCACAAGATTTCATTTAGCTTGAGAAAATATATCCAAGAAACAGAGAAAGAGATAATGTTACAAACATTTTTTTTTGGGTTATTCTATAGAGCATATGGCTAAGAAAAAAGCAACAAAGGAGGAAACACTCTTATCTTTGATATCTTGCATCAACGTGACTTAAATCTTGTGTGGAGAAGCCACTGTAAGAATAATAGCCTAGTCCCTAGCAGAGTCGCCATTTATGTTGGGGTCTTTTTCGTCCAAAGGCTCATCCAGGCTTTGTTGATTCTTGGATCGCCATAGAGTGATGAATGAAGACTTCGTTGCCCCCTTGTCTGAGTTAGCGAGAACTAGGCCCAAAGTATCCCGAGGGAGAAGCAAGTCCCGGGGGAGTACTTTGTTCTTCTTCCAACGGCTACAAGTTTTGGGTCGATGTTTCCAGCAGCTCAACGAAGAGTTGAAGATGACTTTCTGATGTTGATATGAGATTATATGAGCTTGGCATGAGAACTTGAAGTGTAGGAGCTAGAGACCCACAAGTTTTGCAAATGAGAATACATGTGCTTGGCTTGATGTTGGATATGTTCAAGTTTGGTGTTGATAATTTGTTGTGTGTGGCTATGGCTATGAGGATTTAAGAGTTTCAAGGGAAGGAGGATGGAAGGAAAAGCTTGAGGCTTGAAGGTTATAGTGTTTAAAGCTAGGAATGAAGGAAAAGCTTGGAGCTAGGTGATGCTTTATGGATTTAAGAGTTTCAAGATAAGGAGGATGGAAGGAAAAGCTTGAGGTTTGAAGGCTATGATGTTTAAAGCTTGGAAGGAAGAAAAAATTTGGAGCTAGGTAATGCTTTATGGATTTAAGAGTTTCAAGAGAAGAATGATGGAAGGAAAAGCTTGAGGTTTAAAGGCTGTGGTATTTAAAGCTTGGAAGGAAGAAAAAACTTGGAGCTAGGTGATGCTTTATGGAGGTTGGTGGCTGCTGGGCTGCTTGCAACAGCCGAGTGAAGGAGTGTTGGCTGAAGAAAAATTGGTCCCCTTTTGCTTGAGCCATGAATGCCAATTTATAGAGGGTGAGGGTTTTCCTTTATTTCCAATAGACAAAGGGAGGTGCTGGAACCATCATATTTCCAGTGGTTAAAAGGGAGCACTAGGGCATACTATTTTCCAGCATGTAAAGTTAGGTACAATAAACTAATTATTTCCTATGGATAAAAGGAAGCATTGGAAACTGCTTGTTTCCAGTGGGTAATAAGAAGTGCTGGAAAAGGCTTGTTTCCAATCGGTAAAGCTAGGTATTTGAAAAATAACTATTTCCTATGGGTAAAAGGAAGTGCTTGAAAAATATCTCATTTGCTCACCCACATTGGAGAACTCTAAGTAATGGGCTTGTACTTTGGTGCTTCCAAGTAGCTAGCCCAAAGTCTCCATTATCCAAGAGCTTCTGTGGGCCTTGTGGACCTCCGTAACCTTCCACACCACAATCCCTCATGCAAGCCCCGTAAACCACATGACTTGGGTTCATGTGAGCTTGATAGGTGATTGGCAAGGGAAAAATGTATTATTAGTTTGGCATGGCATGTACTCTATTTCTATATTTATTTAATGAATCAAATCCCAAAATACAGCTTGGATTAACGCATGACAGACATTATATGTTTATTTTGGGCTTTAAATTTGGGCTTCCCGTGACTTTTTTGGGCTTCAACACGGCCGAAGGCTCTCCAATGCTTAAGTTAGCTAAGAGTAGTAACTTTGGCAAAGTAACAGTAAAAGTAAGAAAGTAGTTACCTTTTTTACTTAGGTATTGTTCCCTATTTATAGGGAAGTAAAAGTTGGTGATTTGCATAGAATTTCGATGTGGGACTTTGTGCAAGTCGCTGTGGTGGTGACACGTGTCTCGGAGATTAGGTTTGGCAGTTTGAGAGCTTCGGCAGTCGGGAGCTTCAGCATGTGTCTAGCACCTTGGAAGAGTGTCTTCCTTCGGCAGGGGAGAAGGCGTGTCTGTCTTGGTGTTAGTTGTTTTGAGGCTGGATATACTCGATTGATTATGGTGTAAACACATTTCTTACAAATTAAATTCAAATTGTAAACTTCATCATACTAATAGATCAAATTCGATGTAGCAATATGCAACTACCACATGCAAGGAAATCTTCGTCTCTCCAAATTGTTGCAATCAAGACAAAGCGAATTATTTCATTTATTTTCCTTAAAAAAATTTAGACATGTAGAACTTGATTGCTACCTAAACAATAATGTAGGACTGGTATTTTCAAAAGTGAAATGATAAGGACAAAAGTGAAAAACAGGTTAAACTAAGGGACCAAAAATATAATTTGTCTAAACTGAAAAATAGAACGCAAATCAAGAACTTTCCTTGGTTGTAAAAGAGGTTGGGCCTAAGTGAGATTGGAAGGGCCATGGGCTTGTCCATATATGGGTCCAATATTACAAATTACTTTTACCAAGAGACATGAATGAACGCTAAAAACACATAACTGGACTGGACAGTAAAATATCAGGACGAACAGAACATTTTCCTCATGTGTTGGACCAATGAACCTCAATACTACATACATAAGTGTCAGAGACAGACATGACTTTAGCCAAGTTGGTTAGAGTGGGTATGCTCCTCATTCTATATTCTGAGTTTGAATTCTAGGGCTGGCAATGGGTCGGGTTGTGTCGGGTTCGTGTTGTGTCGGGATATTAAACGTGTCAAGAATGCTCAACCCGAACCCAACCCATTTAATAAACGTGTCGTGTCGGGTTCGGGTCGTCTTTTATCGTGCGGGTTTCGAGTCGTGTAACGGGTTGATAAATAATAACATGCATGTTACAAAAGTCACAACTGAAAAAAATTTAAATAAAAAAAACGGAGAAAGGAGAGAAAATATAAGGAAAAGAAAAAAAAAGATAGAGAGAGGAGAGAAGAGAGAAGGAAAAGAAAAAAAAATAGAGAGAGAGAGATAGAGAGAAGAGCGAAGGAAAGAAATAAAAATAAAAAAGAGAAGAGAGAAAACTAAAGAGAATGAAAAGAAAGAAAAAAAATAAGAGATGAGAGAAAACTAAAGAAAAGTAAAAAAAAAGAGGAGAAAAGAGAGAAGGAAAAGAAATTAAAAAAGAGAGAGGAGAAGATAGACGGAAAAGAAAGAAAAACAAAAGAAGAAAAAGAAACATTTTAAATATCAAAATGCATAGTATATAATCACAAAGTTGTATCTAGTATGGTGGATAAGGGATTGGAGAGTAATGAGGATGGGATAGGGGTTCGAAACCCCATATGTGTGTTTTGATGTCTCTATTTCTCTATATTTTTTCGCGGGTTGGCGTGTCTTACATGGGTTGACACGATCCGTGACACGACCCGTTTAATAAACGGGTTACACATGTGTTCTAACGGGTTGGCAGGTTGACCCGAAACCCACCCGTTTAATGAACGGGTCAAAACAGGTTGACCCAAAAATTACCCAATTATTAATCGTGCGGGTTCGAGTCGTGCTTTTTCCGTGCGGGTTTCGAGTCGTGTAACGAGTCGTGGAGGGAATTGTCCCCCCCGTTGGATTTCTCTTTTCGTAATTTAGATTAGCTTAAAATAAAACTATCGCTTGTATCAAGAAAAAAAAAATTCCAATTGGACCAATGAACCTCAATACTAGCCAGATATGTTTACACTAAATAAATGAGTCATCCATAATTTATTTCAACACCATAAATGGTCCAACCAACCCACATCTATCTGGCTTTACAATTAAAACATCGTCAACTCTATATATACCTTGCTTTGCTTTTAGGAGAATGAAACTACAACAGAGCCACCTTAAAATCATCAAATCTCCCAATCTCTTCCAACAAGAATCACTAGCTCTTCCTCTTCATGACAAGAAAGAAAATTGACCTTGCATACATAAAAAATGATGCTGCAAGAAAAACCACCTTCAAGAAAAGGAAGAGCAGACTGCTGAGAACGGTAGAGGTGAACTCAGTATTCTATGTGGAACTGATGCATGTGCAGTAATTTATGGTCAGCATCAAGCCAACCCTGATGTTAGTCCATGCCCTGATGGAGCCCTACGAACAATCACAAGGTTTAAGCAGATGGCCAAGATGGAAAGGAGTAGGAACATCCTGAATCAAGAAAGCTTTCTTAGGCAAACGATACTTAAAGCTGATGAGAAATTGAAGAAACAGATGAATGACAACCAAGAGAAGGAAATGATGATACAAGCCATTTACGGGAGCCTTCCAGCTGACTGGTTGCAAAAATGGAGTCATGTTGATTTGAATGACTTGTGGTTGTCAGTGGAGAAGAATATAGAGGCAATTGCGGAAATGATGACCTCACTGGAAAAACCATGATGACCATGAGGCTTTAAGAAATTGGATGTGTATCTTTGAATTGGATTTAAAAAAAAATTACCCTCTTATTGAATTTCCAATGTGTTTGATTTGTATTCTTTTTCTTCTTCAATGCATCTTGAACTCAAAACATTCAAAATCTTGGACACTATTGGGCATTTCTTCCAATTAAAGAATGAACCCACTTTACCTTGTATGCAATCTAATTAAATACTTACATTTTTTCTTGCAAAGTTTCAGAAACTTATTAATTGGCCACTAGGTAATTTGGATTTAATGCTAGAAAACGATAAGAATGGTTTAAAACTCATAAATATGAGCTTTGGTTTAAACTCAATAGGAAGTTTATTATTGTGATAGATAATAACCCAAGTTCACCGAATCGGGATAAGTTCAATGACTAAATTATAGCATCTAATTTTACAATAATGTAATTAAAAAACTTCAAAATTGCACAAATTGTCATTCCTTCTTAGTCAATCACACAATTTAAGAGGAGGGCATCATTGAAATTTGGAAATGAAGAAATTGCCTTCAATAACCCCAAGAGACTGGCTAGCTAGCTAGCTAGGAATTTAATTATCATTATTCACATTGATAAATAATATTTTATTATTCACATTGATAAATTGTCATTTTATTAGTAAAAGGATTAACTACACTTTAGTCCCTGGAGGTTTAGTGTCAGTATCGAAATGGGCTTCAAGGTTTTAATTAAATCAATTTCATACCCGTTATTTCAAAGTATTACCAATTTACACCTGTTATTACATTGACTATCAAAGTCAGACGTTAAATGCTGACGTGGCAGTTGTGGGACCCACTTCATAACCAAACAACATTTAGAAAGAGCCCAATATGGAACCCACCCACTAACCAATTCAAAAAAAAAAAATTATATAAAATAAAAAAGCATTTTATTTTTTCTGTTAATGCTTTTTTATTTTATATAATTTTTTCTTAAAATTGGTTAGTGGGTGGGTCCTATATTGGTCTCTTTCTAAATTTTGTTTGGTTATGAAGTGAGTCCCATGACTGCCACGTCAGCATTTAAAGTCTGACTTTGAATGTCAATGTAATGGCGAGTGTAAATTGGTAATACTTTGAAATGTCGGGTATGAAATTGATTTAATTGAAACCTTGGGGCCCATTTCGATACTGACACTAAACCTCCAGGGACTAAAGTGTAGTTAATCCTTAATAAAATTACTTTCAATCAATCACTTGTCCTATTTTTGGGGCCAGACAGATTTGGAGTAAATAGTATAAACAATTAAATGTACATGTACATTTTTTTATTTACCATAATAAATATGAACTTTAATCAAATTTCTATATATTATAGCATAGCAAAAAAAAAAAAAAAACATAAATACTAAAATACTAAAGAATAAAATAGTATGCAGTTTGAAGGGTGTCGGTTGGAGCTCAATAATTAAAGTTAGCAAGTTCGTCCATCAAAGATCCACATAGGTTCGCAAATGACACATTTTCATGGCAAAACTCTTGCTACCTCCACTGAGATGCTCTAATCAAATCACTGAACTTAATATCTCAATTTCATGCATGGGGAACATATTAAGAAGAACTACTTATTTATTAATTTATGGTTTAATCAAACCACAATAAGTATAGTCCTTATAAGATTTGACCCATAAAAACCGATATATATTTTAATTATTTGACCACACCCCATGTGATATATTTTAATTAAAGTGTCAAAAATTAATTATCTAATAATTAACCTAACCAGTAACAAACATATATTAATATATGTTTTAAAATATAATTGAGTGTGTTGTCCGTCGACAAATGAAAGATTTTGGCTTTTCATTAGTGACAAGAGAAAGACATATCCATCCATTATGACAAAGAATCACTAGATATGGAGAAACAGCCACACTTCTAGTAGGACTGGATTTTTTTAATTATTTTTATTTTTTTATAGGTGCGATCTTACGTATGTTTCATGATATTTATAATTCGTATTCCGGGAAGTGGAGTATGGTCCAAAGATAGGAAGCACCACCTGAAAAACATTTGAGATTTTGATTGGATTCTAATAAATTCATTTGCTTCATTTTGCTAACTGTGGGTTGGAGCCTACTACATCAAAGCTAAACTGAAATTTCCAATAAAATATTATTTTTTTTGTGAGAATGTGAAGGTGAAAATGTTCCACATTGGAAATTAGAAAACTATGTAAGTGCTTATAAGGTGTTGGTTACTCCCCCTATTGTCAATTGGTTTTGGGTTGAAACCTTAACTTCCTACACTTTTCACCTTGCAAAAAAGAAAACAAACATTGAATGAAGAAAAGATGAAGTTATTTTATTATTATTAATGCTGCAAAGAAAGAGTTGTTGTGCAGGGTATATATGAGATGAGTAGTTCCTGGTAGAGACTCGAGTTGAATTCATAAAGATCCATAGTTTCTAACATCTTGTCTTGTAATGAAAGTGATTACAAAGTTTAGGTAACTTTTTAATTGTTATAATATATATTATTAATTAAAAACAAAATATATCACTTAATGAGCTGAATTCGGGGATAGGGATAACAATATCATACATGGCCTGTCTCCACATTAGGGCCAGGGACCTGACCCTGTTAGTCAACCACATTTCCATTCCAGTCTGGTAATAGATGGGCAGATCTAAGTTCAAAACTTGCCAACCAAAAACTTAGAACCTAAAAGCTAATATATAAGGCAGACACAAACTCTGGGTTTTCATAACCTTTGATATTAAGTACAGTCTGTGTTTTCTTCTTCATTTCTCCTCTCATGTCTATGCAGATCCAGTTTTCTTGATTCTTGCCAAGCAATTGTCTTTTGGCCTAGTGTGTGGCAAGTACATCAATGGGCCGTCCGGATTAGTACGTTCCATCCTGCAGCACCAAATTACAGAAACATTAGAAGAACATATATACAAAAAATAAATAAATAAATTGTAATTTTAGTCATGGAGAGGAATTTGGTTGCAAGATGACTCACTTATAGTTAAGGAGGAAATGGTGAAGGAAGATAGCGATTTCCAGCTTAGCAAGATCATTTCCGGGGCACAGCCGGCTTCCAGCTCCAAAGGGAAGAAAAGTTAATGGTTTGGGTGTGTAGTTCTGAGCCAGCAGAGAGCAGTTAAACAAGTCAGACCCAAGATATAAATTACTGTTTGCCATAATTATCAGTACAACAAAAGTGCTTCTGAACTTACATCCCATCGATCAGGGTTGAATTCCAATGGATTTGGGTATATTTCAGAATCATAGTGAATGCTCCTGAACCAGACCAAAACTTTCCAGCCCTTAGGAACGCTATAACCTGAAATCAAAGCCATTAAGTAAATTTTTTAAGGTGGTTCCACATCAAAACAGATAAATTGAACAAATATACAAATTATGTTCCCTCTAAAACAAAACATTTAGAACCATGCACTCACCGTTTATGTTGACATCTTTCTTTGCCTCTCGAAAAACGGTAAGGGAGAATGTCACGACACGAAGAGTTTCATCAATCACCTATGGAGTTTAAAAGGGTTAGCTGGAATATGATGGCGGGGGCTGAAAAAAATAGAAGTGAAGTCACTTATGTACCTGGGAAAGATACTCCATTTCTCGATATTCCTTAAACGTCATGCCCTTCTGTGTTGGTGGCCTCCTTTTTACAATCTCTTCTTGCTCTGCCTGCATTGACCAAACATTTTAGCAAATCAGAATTCATTGAAGGACTAAATCAGAGTGGATTGAGTATGGACTCAAAGTGAAGGCTAGAAATTACTATGTATGTTGAATTGTCACATTGCACCAGTAAATAAGTCCCCAATTGTAAAAATAAAAGCACTTTATCCAAAACTACGTAAATTCATGTACCTTAGCTTTCTGGAAAAAATTTGGGTGTTTTTGTAGGAAAACGGCGGCCCACATCATTGTATGTCCAGAAGATTCATGGCCTGCATTCAAGTACATTAACAGAACATCTATAATTTCCGCATCTGTAAGTTTTCTTCCATCGTCATCAACAACATCTAGCAGAGCATCCATCATATCTTTCTTCTTTGCCACGTAGTTTCCGGCCTTCCTTTGAGCTCTTCGGTCGTCCACAATGGATTGAAATGTAGAGACAAGGTTTTTCCGAGCCTGAAATGACTCGGTTAGATGCTAAAACAAAATACTAATACTAATACGAAAACAATAATTCCCTCACCTTAAGTGCTTTATGGTATGCAAATCCCGGAAGATTGATTGCCATGGCTCTAACTCCATAGTTAAGAATTGTATATTCCTTCTCCAGAGCCTCCATGACTGGCTCGCTCTCTGAGCTCAGAAAGATGTACATGATAATCCTGAAAGTAAGCTTTCTGAGTTGAGTTAAGAACTCTATTTCTCCCATTTTGGACCATTTCTCCAAAGATGATATGACCCTTTCTTCAATATACGTCGTGTACACGGACAATGCTTCATAACCATTGACTGGAGCTGCTGTTAGCTTTCGCAGACGTTTGTGTTCTTCAAAAGATATACTAGTGAATGAGTTCTTTCCAATTAGTTCCTCTGTGGAAACAGGCCACCCGGGTTTAAATGCATCATCATCTGTCAAAACTTTTTTACTTGCTTCAGGCGTTGTAACGACGATACTTGGGCTCCCAAACATGAAGGTTTTGTAGATTCCAGTACGACCAAACCTGCATTGTTCATTGATAAGGCAATCTTGGTAGATGTGTGCGAGTGTGTGTTTCACTTCTAACTCGAAGTGACCAAAAGTGGAGAGCATAAGAAACTCTTCCATTCACATCATCAAAAACATTAGTATAACTGCCAACGGGGTCTAGTCCAGTGGAAAAAGGCCTTGTCCTTTAGATTAGAGGTCTCAAGTTCGAATCCTCACGACATCATATTACCTTATCAAAATGTCAAAATGCCCCCAGCATTTTATTTTGTAAAAGAATTGAGAGTAATGGTTACCAGAATATCGACAATGTACTAAATACTGTAAATTGATATCTGGTACCAGATAATTCATCTGGCTTAGAGAAAGTAAAGAAAATACATATAATTGTAGACGAGAGAGAGAGAGAGAGAGAGAGAGAGAGAGAGGTGTGAACCTGGAAACCATGGAGTTGAGGAAGGCTTCAGGGTTGGAGGACTTGAAAGCTCTGAGAAAAGACCACATGTTGCCAATGAAAGGCCAGCCCAAGTCACCAGGAGGGAGAGAGTACTTCTTTTCACCCAGCGGGGTTTCATAGTACCAGGAATTTGCATTCTGCAGAAGCCATTTGAGGGCCACAAGAGCAACAAGGCTGCACAAAAGGACCATCCACATGGAGGAACCAAGCTCCCTTCCAACTCCCAAAACCAAACCCAACATGATTGTATACCAAACTCTGCTCTTTTACTTTGTGATCACTATAATCAGAGAAAGAGAGAAAACAGTTGCACACTCAGAGAGAAGAAGCTCACAGTCTACTTGTGCTTCTCTATGTGTTTGCACCCCCTTATATATAAATACTCTTGGGCATATGGCCTTGAATGCAAATTCCTGGAAATAGTTAGTTGTTTTACCAAAACCCATAATAAAAGTTAATGTTGTGATATATGGAGAAAATAAAAAAAAAAACAAAATAAAGGATATGTGAATTGGAAAATAATTACATGGTGTATGTGGGCGGCTTTACTCTTTATCTATATTTGGTTTTGTCGTGTGGTAAATGGTTTCAATTCTTTTTATGTGCACCACTATTTTTCTTTTTTTTCTTTTTTTGTCCGTGTGACTTGTTTTATCATCTTAATGCCATATAAAGTAGGTTCAAATTGGGTGATCGGCATTTTTGGTAAAGATCCTTTTATGGAAGAAAATAAATACAATGTATATAGATTATGAAAAGAAATAGTGTAATGTACATAAAATCGAATATGAGTGTATTATAAATTTGAAATGACTAAATACAATGGATAACAACAATACTTTTCCATTTCCAACATGAAAAAAAAGCAATAAGGATAAACAATAATGCATAGGGATAAATCATATACATGGTAATTACTTAAGATTGAATATATTGTGAGGGTTCAATGTTTCTTTTGTACAAATGACCCACTAGTGTAACATATGCACTGAACATTTTGAATGTGTTGGTAAAGTGATTTATCATTGGTACGATATATCGGTACCTAACACTTACTATTAGATCAGACCAAAAAAAAAAACACTTACTATTAAGTGTAAAATTAGTCAGTATTACACAATTTATTATTATTATTATATCATTTTTATTTAGTTAATGTTTGTATATCTAATTTGCATCGATCACATCTTCTCTGATTTGATATAGTCAGTATTCTACTAAAGTAATGTGTGTTTTTTTTGTGGTCCGCGCTTTTTAATGAGGCAGTTCGAAAGTATTAGAGAAGAAAAAAAGTTCAGTATTTCTTGTTCGAGTTCAATGTTGAAAAAGTTAAATATTTTCTTCCCAATATTGAAAGATGTCTTATATTCAAATTCCCACTCCATTGATTGAAAAAATATATATATAATTTCAAAACATAAGTATTTAGAAAACTAAGATTTATAGTTTTAGATTTTGTAAAAATCCCTTTGTTTACAACGATTAATCATGACGTAATTTAGAGGAGGAATTTATATGATAAATTTTTTTGTATGAATTCCCTACAACATGAGTGGCTGTGATGAGACGAGCATTTGCGTGAGGGTGGAGGCAATCGTCGTGGTGGGAATGATGGTACGTAGGAGTTATGGTGGTATGATAGCCTATTCTAGTTCTTGCACTAGAAGAGCATCATTCGTAGAATTACTTTGAGATCAAGGATGGTCCCAGATTCCTTTTTTTTGCCAAAGTGGGGAAGGGGGAGGGGACAAATTCACACACCAAGACCACTTGGGAGCACACCAAAGACTAGGCCAAACCAACTAAGACTCTAGTGGTCCCAGTTTCATAATGTTTTAAAAATTCTCTGAATTTTCATACATTCTTTGTGTGATCAAGAAGTTTTTTTATTTATTTATCAAAGATATCTAAAGTAACAATCCCCGGAGGGCAACAAACTAACACATTAAAAACAAGGTCAAATCACTTTTGATCCCTATAGTTTGGCACTTCAACCATTTTTGACAATGTAGTTTCAATTTCGTCAATTTTGCCATTGTAGTTTCGTATTTATAGCAATTCAAGGACAAGTTAGCATTCTTATCAATTTCTTTGGCCGTGCAAAGGGCAATTTCATCAACTCAAAACTCTTGAGTATAAAAGCTTGTCTGAAACTCTCCTCATTTCATATTGGGACTCAAAATTGGCCATTTGAGTTTAGGTTTCTTCAAAAATTGAGATTAGTGATTGAATTAGGGTAACTTTTTAATTATTATATTATATTATATTATATCATATTATATTATATTATATTATACTAGCCCATTGGCACATGCGTTTTATTTTTAGAATTAAGAAAAGATAACCTATTAAGAATAAGACCAATTATCTGATTTTGTTTTTAATTTTAATTTTTTTTCATATGAAAGATGTGAATTTACCATATTATCCTCATTTAATTAATAATTTCAATTCTTAATGATTGAATTAACCAATGGCATTTACTGGTATTTTGAATATTTCACTATTCTCTGCCTTTTGCTTTATATATATAGATTAATTAATTAAAAATAAATACAACACTTATTGGCCTGGGTTCGGGAATGCAGTTAACAATACCATCCCCGACCCATATCTGATCCGGTATTTTAAACTTGGGGATCCCCGTACCCGCACCCCTGTTAAGGCTGGGGACCCGACAGGGATTTCTGTCATCCCTACCGTCAATGGTATCCCAATCCATGCCAGAATCCCCTATTTTTTAAAATTAATTATAAAATTTAAACTTCAATCCTGCTCTCTAGTTTAGGTTGTCATAAATGCTATAACTCTTTTTTGATTGGTCCATCTCTATAAAAAAAATAAAAAAATAAAAAAAAGTTAGCATTAAATAAAGGTTTGAAATACTCATTAAATAAAGCAGCCTTAAATTATAGGGAGCCACTAGGAGAACTTTCTCTCTCCTCGGATTTAGGAGCTCTTAGAGCATCCACAATGATGTTCTCTATTTCTTAGCTAAAATTTGGCTAAAAATATAATAAAGCTATTTTATGAACTCTCTAAAAAATTTCAACTCCAACCATACTCCATAATTTGGAGAGTCATAAATGCTATAACTCTTTTTTGATTGGTTCATCTCTATTAAAAAATAAAATAAAAAATAGTTAGCATTAAATAAAGGTTTGAAATATTCATTAAATAAAGCAGCATTCAATTATAGGGAGCCACTAGGAGTCCTTTCTCTCTCCTCATATTTAAGAGCTCCTAGAGGACTCCCTATTTTAAGAGGTGGATAGGAAGCGTGGTTGGAGTTGTATTTTTACTATTTCTCCCTAAAATTTATCTAAGGAGGTGGTTTAGGGAGCTCATTGTGGATGCTCTTAGAGCATTCACAATGAACTACTTAAATCACTTCCTTAGACAAATTTTGGGGAGGATTTGGAAAAATATATCTCCAACCATGCTCCATATCCACCTCCTAAAATAGGGAGACCCCTAGGAGTTCCTAAATATGAAGAGAGAGAAATGATTCCTAGTGACTCCCTATAATTTAATGCTGATTTATTTAATGAGTATTTCAAACTTTTAATTATTATTTATTTATTTTTTAATAGAGATTGACCAATTAAAAAAAAGTTATAGCATTCATGACTCCCTAAACTAGAGAGCATGATTGAAGTTTAAATTTTATAGAAAGCTCCTAAAATAACTTTTATATGTTTTTAGCTAAAATTTAACGAAAAATAGAGAGCATGATTGTGGATGCTCTTAGAAGACTCCCTATTTTAGGAGGTGGATAGGGAGTATGGTTGGAGTTGTATTTTACAATTTCCTCTCCCTAAAATTTGTCTAAGGAGGTGGTTTAGGGAGCTCATTGTGGATGATTTGATAACCATACCGAAGTCATTGTTGCTAATGGGGAAAGATATCAATTCTGACACTGAGACATATGAGCTGGGCAGTTCAAGAAAAATGAAAATTAGCCCAAAGCTTATTCATAGGACGAGACCGTGGGTGTTCAACTAAACAAAAGAAATAGAAGGATGGAGATATGTTATTTAGGGAAATTATATCCCAGAAATGAAGAGGAAGAAAGAGTTGGAGTTGTGGAAGGTATCTATGAGATGAGTTGTTCCTGGAAGAGACTCGAGTTGAATCCATATAGATTTGCAGTTTCTATCAAACATCTTGTCTTGTAATGAAAGTGATTAAAAAGTTCGGGTAACTTTTTAATTGTTATATTATATTATAGAGTGCTGCTAGACGAATTCTAAAATTAACTGAGTATACCCTACTACAAAAGTATATATTGAATTACTGATTTACCCTAATATAAAATGACCAAAACGGATATATGGAATTGTAAAACAAATATAATTTTAATAAGTACACCCTACTAACCATATTGAACCCTAATCAAGAGATTGCTTGGTGCCCATCCTTGTGATCCGCGAGTCAGAATGACTTGGAGCAGATGAAGCCTTCCTTCTTTCTTCTCAGAACTATTTCTTGGCAACTTGGATTAGACAACTTAGAAAGCAGGTTCGGTGACACTGTAATTTTAGTTTGAGATTGGAAGTCACAGATCTGTAATGCATGTATAATGCTCTGTAGCTATCTTGTGCTCATATTGTTTTGCTCTTTTCTTATTACAGCTTTATTGGAACCATTCAAGTGGGTGCTCTTTTGCATGCTTGTTATTCTTTTTCGTGTTACACACATAAGACTGCTATTATTTTTTCTTCAGGTTGGCATCTTGAAGCATATTTGATTGCTTTTCGGTGCTTATGGGGCAGATCAATTGTGTTTTATAACTAGTGCTGCCCCATGAGCATTATTCAGAATGCTTAGACTGATATATCAAAATTTCAAGTGGTTTTAGGACTTATCTTACAGTTTATGGCCAATGCCTTCCAAAAGTGATTGCAGTTATTTCATCTTTCATTGTTTTCCTTCTGATTTTATAATACCATAGAAAAACGTATTCAGAGAAAGAAATTACATTCATGAACCTGATTTCAGGGACATGTGCTCAATTAAATTAGTAATTAAGAACATTAGTTTGGGTAAACATAATAACATTACAATTTGGCCTCTTGTTGGTACATTGCGAAGATTTTATTACAGTTTTATGTAGCATATATCAAAATAAATATAATAATTATGATGGATTTTTGCTCATTTGGCTTCTTCCAACACAAAATATGTTATGAGATAATTTGTGTTTAATTTCTCATTTTTCCTATTATGTTTTTAACAAAGAGATGGTGATTGCAAGAACTTGGAATTGCAAAAAAAAGTGTCAACAGTTTTAGTAGAAGCATAAATCCATATGAAAAGTCAAAGATTTA